CTGGATGAGCTTTGGAGGGCCCTTCCAATCCCTGATGTTCTGGGATTCTGTGATTCTGTGATTCTCAACTCAGTTGCCAGTTTGGAGTCGACAGAGGCAATTTCTCTGTGCCTCAACAGCACATGCTTGGCTAAGAGCTGCTGAAAAGCTGCATGGAAGAAGTTGTCAAAGATGCTGTTCCCTGATGTGTGGTTGTTTGCATTCATGCATCAGCTTCTTTTTTGTGTGCACATATATATGTGTGTGTGTATATATATATTTTATATACGTATTTCTGGGTCACAGATCATGATGCTTATAAAGAAGTTAGTCCTTATTCTGGATAAAATCACAACAGTAGCCTGGTGAGGGCTCTGGAGAACAAGCCTGATGAGGAGCAGCTGAGGGAACTGGGCTTGTTTAGCCTGGAGAAGAGAAGGCTGAGGGGAGACCTCATCACCACCTCCAACTGCCTCAAGGGAGCTTGTAGAGAGGTGGGTGCTGGTCTCTTCTCCCAGGTGATGGGGGATAGAACAAGGGGAAACGGCACCAAGCTGTGCCAAGGGAGGTTCAGGTTAGAGCTAAGGAGGAAGTTCTTTACTGAGAGGGTCGTCAGAAGCTGGAACAGGCTGCCCAGGGAGGTGGTGGAGTCACCATCCCTGGATGTGTTTAAAGAGCGGGTAGACGAGGTACTTAAGGATATGGTTTAGGGGGTAGACAGGAACGGTTGGACGTGATGATCTCAGAGGGCTTTTCCAACCGAGCGATTCTGTGATTCTGTGGAATAAATGAGGTTGAAAGAGCCTGGGCTAAACCAGGGTGATGCAGTTTATCAGCTGCTTATTTCACGGTTCTACGTCTCACAGGGCCAGCGCAACCTCACTGCTCGTGCTGAGCTTCGGCCCCAAAGCCCCCCCAGGCAATGTCAGCGCCAACTCACGACAGCTCTGTGTTCATTGTTCCAGCTCCAGCAGCATTTGATGAAAGCAGAGGTCACCCACATTTTTCATCCGTCCACTTCCTGAACAAGCACGACCTGGACCCGGTTTTAGCGCAGGTGTGTGACCTTTGGGGCCGTTCCTTCCATGGCATTGAGTCATTCCCCACGTATATACCCCGGGTCTTTGCGTTCAGCTGCTCCCCGGCCTCACACGTGCAGAAAGCGGCGCTCTGCCATGAAGCTGACTGGTGCTCTGCTCATCGCCACGGTGCTCTGCAGCTCCCTTGGTAAGTTTTACCAACAAAAACAATAGGATTTTAGATTTTAAATTATATGTAATATATATGTAATGTTTATATAACATTGACTTCATTAAACCTCTGTACAAAGTATTCAAAATATTCCGGGTACTATTAAAATACCAGATGGAAACGAATCTAAGAAGCAACTGAAAGGCACCTTGATGCCTGGTTTAAAATTTGCAGAAAAGACTCCCGTGCCTGCTGGCAGAAGCGATGGTCCCTTGATTCCCACTGAAGTGTTCTGGTGCTGACAGGGAAATTCAGGTACCTGGCCTCCAGGAAAACACCAACCACAGCAGTTTGTGCAGGGGCTCCTAAAGTTCTTTCCCTTGGACACTTACAGTGGGGTTCAACTGCCTGAATGTGGTGTCTGCAATGTTGTGGCCGGTGTTGGAGGACTCATCCTGGTTCTCCTGTGCCAGGAGCAATGTCAGAAGGCGACAAGATTTAGACTTGAAGGAAAGAGATTAGGAGAACAGAAACACTTTCAGTTTAGTGCTGGCAATTCTGGAGATAGGAGGAAAAAAATGTAATTACTGCGTATTACAGCCAGCCCGGGTGATGGGTACATGGACATAGTTAGAGAAGGGAGCCCAGTTGGTTTTGATATCTGGTTAGAGAACAAGGAATAATGTAAGGGGACAAAGGTGCATGGAAACCAAAAACCAAACACAATACAAAGCCTGAGAGGAGTCTGGGTGAAGAGAAGGTGGAGGTGATGAAGAAGGGGAGCTGAGGCCCAGGCAGGCAGAAGCTTCTCCATGAATGGTGGGACCCCACTGAGGGACCTGTGCAACAGCTCCTGCACTGGCAACCCATTGCTCTAAAAACATAAAAAGAATCCCTGCAAAGCTGAGAACACGCTCAGCAAAAGCTTGGTGAGGTTTGCACGTCATTGCTGGGCTGGAAGGGGTTAAGGGGTGGGAGCAGGAGCAAGCGAAGGGTTCCCTCACTGCTCCCCACTTTGCCTTTGCGCTCCAGGGGCTGGCTCTGCTCATGAGGTTGTCCCCAGCTTCCTGCAGACGCTTCTTGAGGGCTCTGCCGAGCAGCTGTACGCCGGACCCATTTCCCAGTATCACCTGGATGATTTGACCAGAGCTGCTTTGACCGCATTAAAGGAATGCATCGATGAGCTTTCTCCTGAGCATGTGAAGGCCCTCATCAGTCTGCTGGTAACTCACTCCTTTTATTATTACTGTAAGTGTCTATAATCGAGCAGCCTTGTACCAGATTCTGGAGAAAGAGCACCCAAATAGGCTCTTCTCGGTGACAAACAATGATAGGACAAGGGGTAACAGACACAAGCTGGAACACAGGAGGTTCCACTTCAATTGGAGAAGAAACTTCTTCTCAGTGAGGGTGACAGAGCCCTGGCCCAGGCTGCCCAGAGAGGTTGTGGAGTCTCCTTCTCTGCAGACATTCAAAACCCGCCTGGACGCCTTCCTGTGTAACCTCATCTGGGTGTTCCTGCTCCGGCAGGGGGATTGGACTGGATGAGCTTTGGAGGGCCCTTCCAATCCCTAACGCTCTGTGATTCTGTACGTGGCTCCCTGGCTCTGTGTCAGCGCCCATGTGTGAACCCCTGACGGGCATGGCCCTGGCGAGCTCCTGCGGGTGAGAGGCTCGGCCTCTGTCCCCCCCAGGTTCTGCCGTTCACTACAGGCTCAGGAACCGTGCGTGACCTGTCTCTGCAGTTGGGTGTTTCGGTTCACCACGCTCACTGCTCTCACTTTCCGTTTCAGAAACTTGTACGGGGAGAGGTTTAAATGAACAAAGTATTTGACTCAACTGCTGGCAACGCTTCTCGACAACTTCCAGCTTCTTGTATCCAAAGCCTTGGGGAAAACAACAAATACTAAAAAATGGAGAAAACCAAGATGCTGGCAGCCGTTCTGCTAAACTCCGTGTGCTGTTTGTGCGACACCCTGCCACCTTCCAGCCTGTTTTAGATCTTATTTCTTTAGAGGTAACTTCAAGTTCTAAATAAAATTAAGGCGATGTTTCAAAATGATTTCTGTGGTCTGTTTTTATAAATAAAGGCCTTTCTTTTTGCCCTTCTTACTGTTACAACTCTGTCTAAACAAAGTCTAAGCAGCAGCATCACTATGCACTGACTGCCCCAATTTAACTGCAATTTAACTCTGGATGACCTGAGGGGATCAGGTCCTCATCCAAAGCAACTTTTGCCAAGCGTGGGACCATTTTTCTTGATAAATGCAGTAGCTCTGATAGCGATGGATCCGAAACTCACTGAGCACAAGCTGAAGAGCCAGCTTGCTTTGGACCACACTCATGGTCCTCCGAGTCATCAGTCATCTGCTGGCCAGGGGCAACCCTCCAGTTACACAGAATCACAGAATCCCAGAACGTCAGGGATTGGAAGGGACCTCCAAAGCTCATCCAGTCCAATCCCCCTGCCGGAGCAGGAACACCCAGATGAGGTTACACAGGAAGGCGTCCAGGCGGGTTTTGAATGTCTGCAGAGAAGGAGACTCCACAACCTCTCTGGGCAGCCTGGGCCAGGGCTCTGTCACCCTCACTGAGAAGAAGTTTCTTCTCCAATTGAAGTGGAACCTCCTGTGTTCCAGTTTGTGTCCGTTACCCCTTGTCCTATCATTGTTTGTCACCGAGAAGAGCCTGGCTCCATCCTTGTGACACTCACCCTTTAAATATTTATAACCATGAATGAGGTCTCCCCTCAGTCTCCTCTTCTGCAAACTAAAGAGCCCCAGCTCCCTCAGCCGCTCCTCAGAAGGGAGATGCTCCACTCCCTCCATCATCTTTGTAGCCCTACGCTGGACTCTCTCCAGCAGTTCCTGTCCTTCTTGAACTGAGGGCCCAGAACTGGACGCAATATTCCAGATGCGGTCTCACTAGGGCAGAGCAGAGGGGCAGGAGAACCTCTCTCGACCTAGTTTCCCCCTTGTTTAACCAAGGACACAAAACCCACCTTGCTCCAGGGCGAGTGGATGGTGTGAAGCAGCTGGAGCTGCAGGTTGCTGTCCCATGGCCAGAGCGGGGAGTTGATGGCAGCAAATTCTCAGCTCGCACTTTGCATCTCTTGGTGCTTGTCCAAGAGGTCTGTGTCACGGCCTTGTTGGCAGTGGGAAGTCACAGAGCAAAGCTCTCATTTCAGTCACTCTGGCTTCTCCATGTGAGGGGCCCTGTAACCACAAGGCTCCTCAGGTGCTCCTGATCAGTGTCAGCAGGAGCATGTGTCTGTCTGCCCATCTCCCCAAGCTGTCTGGGGAGTTCCTGGTGACCGGGCTTTTCGACATCAATGCCCCAGAGACATGAAGTGACTTTTCCAGAGTCACCTTGGGAGGGTTGGGACACTGCTAAGAAGTTGTTTGGTTCTTCTGTGTCAGCAGGGTGCAAGCATTCACCCTGCAGCATCCGCAGCCTCAGGGCTTTGTGCCTCCCAGTGAACAACCCCAGACGTTACCCAGCACTTCATTTAGTGCCTACTGAGGCTTTTGGTCCCTCGCTTTTATGGTTCCCTCTCTGCCACTGCTGTCAGCCCCTTGCTGTCCCACCCCGACTCTCAGCCCTTTGTACACAGGACTTTGTGTACAACCCTCAGCTGTGCCGCTGTCCCAGACCCCCATGGACACCCTTCTTCTCAGCCCGGAGCTGGGGAAGCCCCTTTTCCAGGGCCAGAGCTTGGAAGGGCTGCTCCTCCAGCAGAGCCTCTCCCCAGCCATGCACCCAGGGCATTGCCTGTGCCCCTGAATCTGCTGCTGTCCCATGCCCCAGGATTCCCCAGCAGTGCCTGGCTGGGACAAGTGGCTGGGAGGGCACTGGCTGCTCAGGTGGGGGCTGCACAAGGCACTGGGTGCCCCCAGGTTACTCATGGGAGGGATCAGATGCTCCTTGGGTGCTTGTGCAAGGCACTGGGTGCACATAGGGTGCTTGTGCAAGGGGCCAGATCTGCCCCTCTCTCCACTCTCCCATGGGGACACAGGTGGCCAAGGGACCCAGGCATCTACATGACCCCTACAGCCCCACCCTTGTCCCCTCAAGGACCCAGGTGTCTGTCCCCATTGTGTCTTGTCCCCACCCCAGGCGCAGGCAGGGGACACGAGGCACAGCTCACGTATTTTATTTATTGTCCCCAGCTGTGACAAAAGGGGCTGCGCCCAGGACATTCCCAGGCATGAGGGGATGTCACCAAGTGTGGGGATGACACGGTGTGTCACTGGGGCTGCAGGGACAACACGGGGGGTCAGCAGATGTTGAGGGTGTCACAGGGTTGGGGGGACAATGTGGGGCGTTACCAGGGTTGTGGGGCGGTTTGACGACATGGGGTGACTCTGTGTGGGTGTGGGGACAGGGGGGGTCCCTACCCGCTGCCACGTGTGGGGACATGGCATGTCCTTGTGTGTTGCTGTACGGGGATGGACACACGGAGTGTCCCCATGTCTGTGTGAGGACTCTCAGGGTACAGCTCTGTCTCCAGCTACGTACCAGGACCCAAGACACGTGTCTCAATCCCAGAGATGTGCTCCACGGCGACACAGACGTCCCACATCCCCGTGTCCCCCCCTCTACGTGACGCCACGTCCTGTGCAATCAACCCCCACCCCCACGTGTCCCCCCCTGTCCTACCCACGCTCGCAGATGAGCTCGACGACGCTGTGCTCCATGGGGACGGGGTCGAGGCAGCGGTGGGCGGCGCTGGCGGCCACCTCGTCCAGCAGCCCCTGCACCACCCGCTCGTCGGCAGCGAAGCGCCACAGGTAGAGCTGCAGGTAATGGCCGTCCACCTGCACCTGCTGCAGCCCGAAGCGCCCCAGCGTCCGCAGCCGCACGCACTCCAGCAGCGTCTTCAGGCTGATCTTGATGATCCCGGTCAGCACCGACACCTGGAACGTGGGGACAGCAGAGATACAGGATGCCCCCGGGGCAGGAAGGGCCTGAATCACATCTGCGTGGGGCTGTGGGGACACTGGGGACATCCCTCTCCAGGTCATCAGCTCCTAGGACACACTCTCATCCTGGTCACCATTCTCCAGGCATCCCCAGAGTCTTGACACATGGGATGTGAGGACACTGGGGACATGTGGCATGGGGGAATGGTGGCTCTTTCAGTGCAGGGAGGCCCCACATCCCATCAGCTTGGGGACATAGGGTACACCCTTGTCTTGGCTGCCACTTCCAAGGACTCCCTGAGCCTGGACACATGGGACACTGGGACACAGGGGATGTTTGGACAGGGGGATGGGGACACCCTTGGCCTGGCTGTTGCGAGTCCAGGAAGGCCCTAAGTCAGCGTAGGGATATGGGGACACCCTTGTCCTGGTCACCAGCAGCAGGGACCTCACCCAAGTCCCAACACCTAGGACAGGGGAGCAGCAGGGGACCTGATTGTCCTGGCCATCAGTCCCTGGAGAGCACCCGGAGCCCCAAAACCTGGGTCATGGAGACACCAAGGACATTGTGGGCAGTGCAGGGACACAGGGACCATGGGGGCCCTTGGGGACATGGGGATGTTCCTGTGGCCTCACCTTGTTGAACTCAACAGGGCTGAAGATGTCGATGCGTTCAGAGAAGAGCTTCTGGATGTTGCTGAGCAGGTGGGTGTCCATGGGGGCACTGGGGAAGGTGACACCAGGACAGTCAGAGACATGAGAATGGGGACACAGAGGTGGTCAGAGGATGCAGGTCCAGTCAGGGAATGTGGGAATGGTCACAGGATATGGAGGGACAATCACGGCACACAGGGAAGATGGGTACCATCAAGGGATACTGGCAATCCGACAGTTTGGGGACACAAAGAGGGTCAGGGGGAAGATGTAGCAGGTATGGTGGGGTGATGCAGAGAGCACAGGGGTGACAGGGTGGCCCTGGGGGCAAACCAGGGGGTGGCAGGGCTGACCTGGGGGTGTAGCTGGGGGCATAGCGCCCGGGTGCCCGCGAGCTGCTGTAGACGGAGAAGCCGGACGGGCGCCTCCCCCCCCGCCGCACTCCCTCCTCAAAGAGCTGCCCCACCTGCAGTACCCACACACTCTCAATGCTGGCGGCTCAGAATCCACCCTAAATATCTCTCTGCAACCCTCCCAAGCCCTTCAAGGACCAAATGGGAACCTTGTGCATCCCTTTCTTGACCTTTCAGGGATTTCAGCCCTTCCAGGGACACCAAGAAGCAACTGGGACCCTGCAGGGGACTTTAGGGACCCTCACAAAAACCCTCTGGGGACTTCTAAAGTCCTCAAGGATCTTCTGGTGACCTCAAGGATTCCCTCTAGACCCTGAGATCCTCTCCAGGGACCCTCTGGGACACCTGTGACCCTCGGAAGGACTTCAGGTCTCCCTCCAGCCCCACCGGATTCCTGGCGCTGGCCCAACCTGGACGTCGATGGCGGTGATGTCCTCGACCACGCGCTTCATGACAGCGCGAACGTTGCGGGGCTCGACGGTGCCCAACCAGTCGCGCGTCTCTTTTTTTCACCGCCGCCCCCTGGACCTGCACGTAGTGGTCAAGCAGCCGCTGCGCCGCCCCTCGCGCCTCTGCGCACAGAGATGGGCCCGGTGTCACTGCCGGGCCTGCGTCCTGGGGGTGCAAAGGACACGGGAGACGTGTGGACGTGTGGGAACGCTGCCACCTCCGCACGCAGCGTTGGCCCCGCAATCGTTGAGGATACGAGGGACGTGGGAACATGTGGGGATGGCCTCCCCCCCATATCTCCACCATCTGTTGTCCTTGGGGGCACAGGGACATCAGGGAACATGTGGGATGCTCCATGGGCCAGCCCACCTGCAGCAGCATCACTGCCATCCTCATATCCTTGGGCCATATAAAAGGACTTGGGGATATCCTTGGGGACATTTGGGAGACACTGGCACAGGTAGGGACCCACCTGCCCCCTGCCAGAGCCATATCCTGGATGGATGTGGGGCCACAGCAGGGCACAGGGAGGGACCTGGGGACGTTCTGGGGTCCCTTGTGGACATCTGGAGGCACATCACTGTCCCCACCACAACATCCTGGGTGGACATGGGGCCACAGAGGAACCTGTGGTCATCTGAGGTGCCACAGGGCCATTTGGGACACCCTTGGGGCCAATCAAATGGTTTGGGGTCCACTCAGGAATGTTTTGGGGGACACAGACAGAGGGAAGATCCTCAAGCCTCCACACACACCACGGTACCCACTACTGTGTCCTGAATGGACAGTGGGACACGGTGGGATGCAGAACCATTTTGTGACATCTCGGGGACATTCAGGGTCCCTTTAAAGGCCATTTTGGGGCCAACTAGGGCAGTTTTGGAGGCTCACCTGGGGAGGAAACTGCTCATCAGTAAGAGTGAGGATATAGCTGATGGTGGTGGCCTCATAGTCAAGGCAGAGGCGGGCGAGGAGCAGCAGCAGGGCTGGGGGTGCTG